CCCCCCCCCAATCCCCGGTACCGCTTCTGGATCTCCGCCGCCACGAAATCTTTCCCCGATTTCCTTTTGCCGCTCAGCAGCAGCACGACACGGGGCTCCTCCATCCCCATTCCCGCGCCACCCCCCCGCGCCACCCGGACCCGCCCCGCTCCGGTCCAATGCGCGGGGAAGAACCGCCCCGCCCCGCCCCGCCTCGCTCCCCCCCGCCCCGTAGGTACGCAGTGGTACGGCCCGGCCGGGGGGCGGGGCTAAATATTGGCTCCGCCCTCACCGCGTAGTATCGCCCCCTGCTGGTGGGCGGTTCGCACTACAAGTCCGGGGATCACCGCCACTCCCACACCTTCCCTGCCCCCCATTCAGCCCAGAGCCCCCCACCATCCCCTTCCCCACCATCCAACATCCCCATTTCCCTCAGAACACCCTCGACATCCCCCCCCCCCCACCACCAGCCATTTTTCCCCCCCTCCCACCAGGCACAGCTCAGCCCAGCGGTGACTTTATTGCATCTATAGCAGTGCAGCAGCATCACACAGTGCATCAATCGGGGAGAGTGGGGGGGGAAGGAGGGAGGGGGGGGCCACACATGGCAGCCCTTGGACCCCCAAAACACAGCCCATGGCGGTGGTGGGAGGGGGTCAGCAGGGACCCCCCCCTCATGGCTCTATCTGCCACCTCCGTGCTGCCTCCAGGATTTGCGGCCACGCTCCTTCCCAACAGAGCTGCAATAGAAAAGGGGGGGTGAGGGGTGGATGTGGAGGAGGGGGGAGTCCTGGAGGGGAGGGGGGGGGGTCCGGGGGGGGGGGGGGGGGGGGGGTCCTGGAGATGCGGGGGTCACTTCTCCTTCCCCCCACCCCACTCACCCAGCATAGTGCTGCAGCACGAACTCCTCGAAGCCGTCGGCCGCCTCCTCATCGCCGCGCTCGCGCCGCGCCACGTCCTCCAGCATCTCCTCCACCTCCTCCACGAAGTCCACGAAGCGCCGCCGGTCGTGAGCGAAAACCCCATCGGCCCCAAAGGCTCCGTCCAACCGCGCCGCCACCCCCCTGAAATGCCCCCCCCAGCCCAGCCTCTCCATGAAGCCCTCCAGCAACTGCAGGAACTGCGACTTCTGCACGGGCTCCAGCGCAGCCCCCAGCGCCTCGCGGCCCTCTTTGTGAGCACAGTCGGTCACCCCTGAGCAGCCCTGGGGGGCTCGGGAATGGCTGAGGGGGGGCAGTTCCTGGGGGCCACGGGACCACTTCCCCCCTGGTTTGCCCTCTCTGTGCTCCCTGTGGGGCCGGGGCTCCTTGCCGTGATGCTCCTTGCCGTGATGCTCCTTGCTGTGGTGCTCCTTGCCATGATGCTCCTTGCTGTGGTGCTCCTTGCCGTGGGCTTTGCCCCGCTCGCGGTGGCCGTCCCTCTTGTGCCACCCCCTCTCCTTCTTTTCTGCCTTGAACCCCTTTTTCCAATGCCCAGGGAACGCCTCAGCCCCCTCGGATCCCCCCAGCTCCCGGCTCAGGCGCCCCTCCAGCTCCCTCAGCTCCTCTTTGAGCCCCTCCAGCCCCCCCGCACCCTGCGCTCGCTGCAGGGCAGCTGCCAGCTCGTGCTGCACCGACTCCAACAGCCCACGGTGCCGTGCCTCATGCCGGGCCCCATCCTCATGCACTGCAGAACTGGGACCGTGAGGCTGCTCCTTGTGGGGCTGGGGGTCACTGGGACCCCCCCGGGCCTGCAGGCGTTGCAGCTCAGCGCGTGCAGCCCGCAGTGCCTCGGCCTCACGCTGCAGCGCTGCACGGAGCTCGGCGTTCTCCTTGGCCAAACTCTGCTGCTGCTCCCCAGCTGCTGCTGCTGCACCTTCGCTTTGTTGCAGCAGCGCCTGCAGCTCCTCCTTGTGGGTCTGGGGGAGAGGTGGGGGGGTCAGGGAAGGGCAAAGGGTGGTGGCCCTGGGGGGCACAGTGCTGCCCACCCACCTGCAGCTCAGCCTGCATCAGGCGGATGTCCTGGTTCTCCTTGGCCAGGCGGTCCAGCAGCACGCTCATGGACTGCATGCTGCGCACGTCCCCACCGTCCAGGGGGGGCTTCTGTGGGGAATCCTGGGGGCAGAAGGGGTGGGATGCGGCCCTGGGGGTGCTGAGGATGCGGCAGCCCCTTTGCAGCCCCGCTCCTTACGCTGCCGTTGTCGGGCACAGCTTCCTGCTCCACGTCTGTTGCATCGTGGCTCATCACATCCGCAGGACCTGGGGAGGAACCACACGCTGACATCGAGCACGCGGCGCCCAGCCCTGCTCACAGCCCTCCCTGCTCACCGTCTGCCGTGTCGTAGAAACCACCTGGAGAGGAGAGAAAGAGACAGCAATGGTGACCTCCACCTGCACACCCCACCCTGACCCCGGCACCCCCGACTCACCAGTGACGATCAGCAGAGCCACAGCCACCAACGCCAGCGCTCCCAGCAGCAGTTTGTTGGCACTGAGCCCCTCCTCGTTGCCTTCATCTTGCAGCACACGGCGCGGGATGGGGGCAGGAGGGGGGGTCCCAGCACGGGGCTGATGGACCTGCCGTCGCCTCAGCCCCTCCACGTCGTCATCACTGCTGGTGCAGCTCCCCTCCTCCAGCAGCGGCCCTGGGGAGGGATGAAGAGCTGTGAGGGGAGCCCACAGACTTGGATCTGCTGCTCGGTACCCACAGACTCGATCTGCTGACCTGCTGTGCAGCCCTCAGCACGCGCTCCGGGCTCAGCGTTGTGCTTTTCCTCCTCCCAGCTCCCCGCGGTGCTGAGCTCTGTAGGGCCGGATGGAGGGAGTTCTGTGCCGGCATCGGGATCCGAGCGTTCCTCTGCATCCTGGGAACACAAGGGTTGGGGTCGCGCATCCCCACGCTGCCACCCCCGGCCCCACCGTCCCCCCCTCGACTTACCCCGACCTCAGGATGCTGTTTTTCACTCAGGGACGCGGCTCCATCCTCAGTGCCGTCAGCTGCGGAGGGGTAGAAGCCGGAGGTGAGCAGAAGAACCCAGCCCGGTACCGGGGACCTCAGCACTGCCCCCTCCCCACGTGCCTGTGCCGGCATCCGGGTCGCCTTCCTCCTCCCCTTCCTCTTCGTTCTCGTCATCTTGGGAGGCTGAATCCCGCTCCGGCCCCACCGTGTCCACAGGCAGCCCCTGGGGACGACAGGCGGCCATTGGGACCCCCGACCCCCCCTTTGCCCCCCACCCCGGCCCGACGCCCCTCACCTCAGTGCCCGTCAGCACCCAGCTGTTATCCGAGTCTCGGGAGTCCGATTTCTGCGCCATGGCTGCGGATCCCCCCTGGGAAGAGACGGACGTGGATGGACAGATGGACGCGGGGACGGACAGCCACATAAACAGATAAAACAGACACACGGACGGCCCGACCTCACCCCGTGCCCCCCTCTGGGTTGATTTGCCTGGCAAAACGAGTTGATGAACTCAGAGCAAAGGGCAACGGGTGACAGCGCCGCGATCCCTGCACCGGCTGCGTCGGGACCCCCGGGATCCCCCCCTTCCCCGGTAACAGCGGGTTCAGCCCAGGCCGCACTTTTCCCCTCCCGCTCCGGTACCGGCAGCGAGTCGGGATCGGGCACGGGGCGATGGCGGTGCCCGTGGATTCTGCACATTCCCCGCACAGCTGTGGAGGCACCGCCTCCGCCCCGACCCTCCCCGCCCCCCCCCCC